CCACTCGGCACGCGCGCGCCGTGCCGACCACTTACCGGCCAGCACAGCAGGGGCGTATCCACACACAGGCACTTGACACACACACAGACACACACACCGACACGTGACTCGGGCTCGACGCCGGCTCTCGTAGCGGCGCGCGGCGGCGGGGTGCACGGCGCTGCGGGGCCGGGGGCGTTCAGAGCGGCACTGAACCGACCGCCGGGTGGGCCGGGCGGGAGGGCCAGCCTGGCGCCGCCCTGTGGGAGGGGGGGAGACGCGCCACCGCGGGCCCAAGGCTTGGCGCGCCGGCTGGTGCCCGGCCCGGCCGCGGGGCGGCGCTGCGCCTCGGGGGATGAGACGAGCAGCGGCGATAACGAAGCCAAACAGTTAAAACAAGAGATTTCAAAAACAAATCAGAACTTTTAAAACAATATAAAAGAAGCATGTCGGTGCATCAAACATGTCGTTCTCGCAAGAAGCAAGCATAACCTACCCGCCACCTGAACCTGATGTCAATGTAACTTTTTTGCCCGCTTAGTGGAGGGAAGAGTGGGCAAAATTATTGTGTTTTTCCGTATGTATCTGATACAGTTTCTGGTTCCCCGGTGTACACACCGAGTTCAGAACCAATAAACTCCTCGCTCTTTACCCAAAAAATACTTATCTAGTAACCCTACGTTTTATTCTCTCAACAATTTTTGTTGCACCTGTACCGCCTGTGTTTATGCCGAGCGAAACGAAAATAACAGTAGTCCCCTTGGTTCGGTCGCTGGGGGGCAAGCAGCAAGGTAAGAGAGGAAAAGGGGGCAGGGGAGGACAGGGGGAGCAGCGGAGCAACGCACCTTCTCCCCGGCTCCCTCTGCATTTCGTTCCCTTCGCTTCTCTGCCTCCAGCCAGATTATTTCTCCACAAACAACATCTCCTGTTCCGTCGCCGCACGATGTAGAAAGAAAAGGCGGTTCAAATTACGTGTGGAGTAAAAAAAAATCACGACCTCAACGTCTATATGGAGGCGATGCGAACAAGGCACACATCAGAAGTTGGCGCGGACGCGACAACCCTCCACCCCAGTGCACGAGGATGTGCACGGTGATGAGCAGGAACAGCAGCAGCAGGAAGCGTCGCGGCGCCAGGCCGCCGTACTTCTAACGCGCATATTATACGCACGATGCCTCCCCCTCGAAACTGACCCGCCCACCACTTCGCGCCGCCGCCGCTGCCCTACCCTACCGCGCCCCAGCGCCCCGCCACCACGCGCCGCCACGCCCCGCCCCGCCACGCCCCAGCAGCAGCCCTTCAGTCCTCATTTGAAGCTCCACCCAGAGCCGTAAATCAGTTGCAGAAGTTATGCGCGGTGCCGGGCGGGCCGTGCCGGGCAGTGATGCTCGGGATGTGGGAGATAAGGTCAAGAAGGGAGGGGCGGGGGAGGGAGCGAAGAGTTTGTGAGGGATAGAGGGGAGGGACGGAGGGAGAGGGGGGTGCTTTTGAGCCGCATAATCAGCCCGCGGCGCTGCCACTGGTACTCACAAGCCAAACTCTTTCGAAAGACCAAGTTTATATTGTTTTGTTTTTTTTGTTGTTTTTTTTGCACTTGTTGTGCTGCCCTGAGTCGAGAATGTCGTTGGCTTGTTCGAAATAGCAGGTGTCGACTACCAAATCGCAAAAAAATGAAAGATGTGCATTATTTCCGTGATTGTAAGGAAGGTCACACACATATCGGCATAACGCAGTGAAGAGGAAAGCAGTTGTAAGATTTACAGGAAAAGTATTCATTTAGATTGTCTTAAAACAACAATATACAGATAAGTAAAGTGTTCAACAAATCAACTGCCGTGCACATGCAAGTGCTAAACCACTGTTAAAGAAACTGTAGCCTAGAACAGTGAGCAGCATACAGTCCTGACCGTATTTTATTTTACGGTCAGACTATATGTCATATACCGGTCAGGATTTTACGGTTTAACTGTATTTTGATTTTGGAATACAGGCCGGACTGTTTTTATTTTTACGGTCTGGCATGTTACAGTATAGACTGTACTTCAGAATACAGTCACAGTCTATACTGTATTTTAATTTACGGTCTAGACTGTAAAATAAAAACCGTAAAAAGGCCGTTATGGGGGACCATAGTGAAACAAAATCTACAAAAACGCATTTGAAATTTCCACCGACTAGGTCCAGCATTACAGTCCGAGTGAAATTTAATTTTACAGTCCAGGCTGTAACAGATCAGAGTGTAAATTTGAATACAGTCTGGCGGTTGTCTACAATAGAGCGAAGACGGTAACATAGTCGGCAGTCGGTAACAAAGTCAGACTGTAAAATTGAAAACAGTCCGACCGTAAAGTTAAATACGTCAGGACTATATAAAATTTATTGGGCGTCGTGTAAGAATTACTGTAGGTTTTTTAACAGTGAATGCGTAGTCTGTAACGCGCTTCATGAAGGGCCCTATTTTCACCCCACCCCGTACCCCTCCCCTGCTGCATTTTTCACACCGAATGCCGATATGAATTCGATTAATGACGATCTCAAGTAGGGCCGCCGACGCGGTGGCCGAGGCCGGGCGTGCATGCTTCCTGCACCAAACTTACTCGATGGATGTGTGTGGGTATCGACCCCGTGCGTGTCGTCGAGGCCGCGCGCGACCTCCAACACCGTGGCCCCGCCCGGCCTCTGGCCCCGACCCCGGCCACACTCCAGGCATTCCAGGCCGAGACTTTGATACGGTTGCTGCAGTGGCTCGTGGCGCAGCAAGTACAATCGATACTATTCCTTGTAATGGTGCCCTGGGCCGCCCCGGCGGCGCACGCCAACGGCAGCAGAGAGAGAGAGAGAGAGAGAGAGAGAGAGAAAGAGAGAGAGAGAGAGAGAGAGAGAGAGAGAGAGAGAGCAGCGCTTACCGATTTCAAAACGAGAAAAAAGGAGAGCCAATTTAAGTAAGGGTCTGAAACAACAACATCAACAACAACAACAACAGGGCTGGGCAGAAAATGAAAGGGATTTGAGACGACATGGTGCGACCTCGCCGTGAATAAGGCTGCACCGCGACTATTGGCTGCACGACTCTAATTTGGGGCCCCGCGCGCAACGCTTTCAATTCCCTTCCAGATACGCCACAACGCCAACGCCACCTTGGGGGAGGGGGGCTAAGGAGAGGGGAAGGGGCGTGCCTAAGGTCAGTACACGGAAATGGCTCCGGCCAACGCGGCCAAAGGCGGCCATACCTGCGCATTGGCATTTGAACCCCCGGATTAACGCCACGACCTTCACGGACGAGTGGCGGCGGAGCAGCTCCAGCAGCAATGCCCCCTTTTTTTCGTTTTTCTTTTAATTTTTTTCCCTGGTCAAATCAGTCGAGCGGAGTCATTCCACTTCACAGTTGTTTCACACCGCACGCCACTCAGCGGCCGTCCAATGTAAAAGCCCCACCCGCCGCTCCAAAATGACCCAATCGCAGTAATCGTTTGCGCTGTAATTACAGGTGTGGGGCAGGGGAGGGCGAGAAGGGGTGTGGGCCACTAGGCCACTCAACGACGAGGGATACTTTCGTAAGTAGATATTCATTCATTTTAAGAACATCACTCTTATTCAAATACTGTGACGTCAAATTATATATATAATACTGTATGTGAATTGTTTCACATTGTTTAGAATATCATGGTCTCGATCATGGCACACTCCTCAGAACATGTCATATCCCTACATCGTTCAGCCCTCACGAGCGTATTTATGTCACGTTATAACGAATACCACATATTCTAAACAATTAATGTGACACAATTGACATTTTATAGAATGTGACGTCACAGTATTTTGAAAAACAGTGATCCTACGAGGACCTAATGATGATTCATTACACGATGAATCCACTCCATGTAAAAGGATACGAGCGTCACAGCGAAAGGAATGCATCGGTAAACGTGGTCTCCCGAGAACACGTCAAGAAACGTTGCGTACGCAACACTTGTTTTTCCAGTGTTGCTACACAAAATGTTGAATAGTCCAGTGGTTGGCATAGCTAGGGTCGACAAACCCGTAACACTGCTGTGTCACTACCTTGGCACACGCTAGCTGATTTAATTGAACATAGAACAATAAAACGAAAATTTTGAACAAAATGTCAGAAAACTACACACAGTTAGGTGTAAGTTAAATCTGTTATTCACGTTTAAAAAGTTGTGTTTGTCTTCTTTTTAAAACAACTTAGCCCGTACGGTTTTGAGTTAGGACACAGAACATGTAACGTGTACACAAAGTCAGTTTAAGTGTTAGTTGTGTCCTAACCCACACGCGTGCAGAAATATTTCGTCACCTCTACCTCTGCAGGTTTATCACTGCGAATCTCAAATGAGTTGTGAAGAGGCCATTTTTCGCCAGAACACTGGGAAACAATGGCCTTTTTGTACGGACGCAGATGAGGAGGGGGAGGGGGGATTAGCGCACGAGGGAAGAGATAACGGGGTTGGAGAGGGGCAAGTGGGAGGGGGGGGTGAAAGGTGGGGGGCCCACGCCCAACCCTCCCAGGAGGGCAAAACACTGGCAGGGAGAAAGAAGCGAGAGCAGAGGCATGCGGAGTGCAAACGTTGAAGATAATTATGAATTAAAATAATAAATGTAAAGGCTGTGTGCTGTATTTCCATTTGAGACCAAATCAGACTGACGCGCCTCTTCAAACAGTCCCGCCGTCCTCCCGCATCCGCCTCGTCCTGCGGCGCGGTGCCGGCGCGGTGTGAGCGCAGCGCGCCGGGGCGCCCGCGTGGTGAGCTCATCGACGCGCGGTCCGACCCGGCGTGCCTTTTGCACAGAAAAATACGCTTTTGCTTAATCCCATCGCGCCTCTGCGTTGTAAGGTAGGGGGTAAATGTGTCAGGGCGCGGACACGAACTCACTGATAAGCAAAAGCGAGCTTTGGGTGCTTCCAGGAGCGTCCGTTGGTCGCCACAAAGTTAGCTCTCGCTGATGACTCCGGGTGTCGAGGTGCGGTATATATACAACAGCACGGGCCCCACACAATCGTGTTGTATGAAAGGAGAGACGGTTAGCACTCCCCTTGACAAGGATGGAATACACATATATGGCTGAGGCACCCAGCTACTTGTAGCAACTCAACCACATTTTTTCACTTCTGTAATCTGTAATAATCTGTACCACACGTGTGGGCGGGCTTGCCTATCGCCCCTGTGTTCACGGCACCTCACGGGCCGTGCACGTAGGCAGCCCGGCCGCACTCGTGTTAGCGGTGCAGCACAACAACAGGAGTGGTATCATTTCTCCGAAATCGTCGCTATGAAATTTTTAAAATCTTACGTTTTAAAAGTTTGTAACCAGGAAGCAAATATTTGTAATCCGTAGGTTTGAAATTTTTTTACCACGTGTGTTCCAAACTTTCGTAATATGGTTACTGAAAGAACTCTTTCCTCCATTCAATTACCTTGATTGTAGCTTTCATAAATAAATTAAGAGGAAACCCTGGACGGCGGTTGGACGACGTTGTGGCAGTGCTCTACAAATACCCCTTCCCGACGGTCGCTAAGATTGTCTCTACAATGTTAAAAAAGAATGAAGAGGTTTTACTTGTGGTATAGTGTTGGCATAGTGCATGCGCACGATAGTTGCACCAGGTAGCTGAGACACACCTGCCTACTTTCGTAGTTATACTGTACTTCATGCGCACTTGAGGGCCTTTTGCCTACTTGTACGGGCCGAGGATATAGGGAAGCCCACCCGTACCCGTGCACGCGCACTGGAAAATTCTTGCAAACAATTTTAAAACATTGTAAGGAAGTTTGCATTGCCAACCATATTCTTTGAATTGCAAACTATTTTCTTCGTAAGTTGCGAAGAAATAGTTTGCAATTACGAACGAATTCTTTGCAGCGTTCCAAACAATTTTATTCGTAATGTGCGAAAAACTAGTTCGCCATATAAATATATATAGTGTGCTAGCTAAGCTGCATCAAATCCGGCGGAAAAGTCATCGTTATCTCCGTTATCTCGATGCAGAACGGCAGAGATGCCCTCCTTTTTTAACGTCGTTTCATCACAGCAGTGTTCGCTTGTACAAAGATGTTCAGCACACTTTGACCAGATCGGTGATTGGCATTTAATCATTTAATCCGAGAGCAGCGAGACGAGACAGGGCAGCGTCAGTAGGTTAGTAGGTCAGACTTGCCCGCCCCTGCTTCTGCTTGAAGATACGGCACCAAGGCGTACCTCACGCGCTTTGCTTAAAATATTTTTTGGAACTCAGGTGATGCACCGGGATAAAATGTTGGGAAACAGAAGTCATACATCGATTCTGTTTTTCGCGTTTGTTCTCGCCCTACCGCTACAGTGGTTCTTTGAAGTAACCTAATGGTGATACAAATACAACAACAACATTATTAAATATATCTCGACCCATAAAGAACAACCCAAAACGGCAAATTAGATGCAGAACGTAAGCCCTCGCAATCGGTCAAGTTCTCACACCACTCCCATGGGAGAATGCATTCTTATTGCCCGCACCAAATTATTTTCCGTCAATCGAAAAATATCTCCAATAATGGCATGTAACAACACACTGCTCAAGCTAGTGAGCGGGAGCCCTCGATCTGGAAGCGTAAGGTCCGCCAGTAGTGCAGGGGTAGTGGGGAGGGGAGTGGGCGGCAGCGCGCTGCAGCTGGCCGGGACATGTTTATACCCCATCCCGTCGTGTTCGGACCTTCATGAAGGGCGCCCCTTCCTCTAATTGTCATATTGCGAGGGAGAAAGGAAAAGAGGGCACGAGATTGAGAAAAGGGAGGGAGGGGAGACGGAAAAGTGAAATAGAGTGAGAGGGAAATACCTCCCCTATGAGGGAAAGGGGGAGAGAGAAAGGCGCCATGAGGGTCGCAAATACAGCAGCAGCCTTGTCCCTTCCGTTCCCCCCTTCTCTTCTCCCACGCTACATGCCCGCCCAGCGCCGTGCCCATGGATTTTTCTGTCACCCGCTGCTGCCTTTTGAGGGCGCCTCACGCGTCATTGGGCGGCGTGGACCATACAACTGCGCTGACCAATATTTTTCCCGACCTTTTGTATGCGTGTGCGTGTGAAGGGCAAGAGCAAGAGCAGCAGGCGGGGGAGGGGGAGGGGGCCCAACAAGCCCCGGTCTATCGCCTGAACCTCACACGTCGTGTTTTAGCTTTGAGGAAAGGCCCCCGGCGAGGAAGCAATCGGCTGCGTAGGGTCCCCGTAACGTCCCCTTTACCCCCGTCTTTTCTCGGTCCGTATTCCGTCGAGTGATGCGTGTCAAACACTTTGCTGTGCTCGTAGGAATCCACTGAAACACGCACATTTATTCATCAAATTCGATCAAACTCCACGAATTTTTAGAAAAGAATATACGATTTTGCGACATCTGCCCAGAGTCTTCAGCTTGAAAGTCTTTCCTTACAGCACCTTGACCGGTCTTACCACATGAGCAGAGCCACACTATTTCCGACTATTTTCTGAAGGTTCTGGAAACTCCACTATTCCACTACACCCCGTAGGCGAAAATGCTGGCTGGCATTTATTCCGAGTATTCCGCTCCTTTTATTCCTGGGCATAAGGAGCAGGCTACACCACCACTGGCGGCGAGCTCGCTGCCCCCCGCCCCCCCTTCCCTCTCCTCGGTGCTCCTCATGCTCATGCCTGATACGTACTTTACCGGCGCAGCGTGCCGCGGCGAGACGCACGGACGTGACGTTATGGAAATCTAGCGCGCGTTACCAGAGCATTTCTCTTCATTTGCACTATGGGCCTCTTGGCGTGCGTGCGCCCGGACGTGCGAGCGGGCGAGAGAGGGTGAGAAGCAGAGCAAGAGAGCGAGGCGAGAGAGCAAGGTGAGAGCGAGAGAGGGAAGCGAGAAGGAGGGAGTGAGAGAGGCGAGAGAAAGCAAAGGAAGAGGACAAGAACACACGGAAGTCGGAAGAGGCATGTACTGGGGTGGATCACCCTAAGCACACTACCACCGCTCACA